CTGGTATATCCTATATCCTATCTCCTATATCCTACTATAATCCACTAAATCCCATTATATATATATTATATGTATATATATACATGAATGCTATGTAGTCATATCCCTATGAAATCGCTGATTTTTCTGTGTCAAGAGACTCCGCCTCTGCCAGCGCCCGCGCCAACTCCGCGTCCTCCGCCGTGTCCAGCGCCGCAGAGGGCGGCGCGGACAGCGGCGGTGCGACCGCGGCGCTGGAGGGAGGCTCCTGCGCCGTGGCGAAGGGATGAGAAAGAACCAACATGTAAAAGGAAAAAAAGTTGATTTTCTTAGGTAATTTGAAGGAACAAATTGATTTTCTTAGAAGATTTAAAGGAAAAAAGTTGATTTTCTTAGGTAATTTGAAGGAACAAATTGATTTTCTTAGAAGATTTAAAGGAAAAAAAGTTGATTTTCTTAGGTAATTTGAAGGAACAAATTGATTTTCTTAGAAGATTTAAAGGAAAAAAAGTTGATTTTCTTAGGTAATTTGAAGGAACAAATTGATTTTCTTAGAAGATTTAAAGGAAAAAAGTTGATTTTCTTAGGTAATTTGAAGGAACAAATTGATTTTCTTAGAAGATTTAAAGGGAAAAATTGATTTTCTTAGAAGATTTAAAGGGAAAAGTTGATTTTCTTAGGTAATTTGAAGGAACAAATTGATTTTCTTAGAAGATTTAAAGGAAAAAAAGTTGATTTTCTTAGGTAATTTGAAGGAACAAATTGATTTTCTTAGAAGATTTAAAGGAAAAAAAGTTGATTTTCTTAGGTAATTTGAAGGAACAAATTGATTTTCTTAGAAGATTTAAAGGAAAAAAGTTGATTTTCTTAGGTAATTTGAAGGAACAAATTGATTTTCTTAGAAGATTTAAAGGGAAAAATTGATTTTCTTAGAAGATTTAAAGGGAAAAGTTGATTTTCTTAGGTAATTTGAAGGAACAAATTGATTTTCTTAGAAGATTTAAAGGAAAAAAGTTGATTTTCTTAGGTAATTTGAAGGAACAAATTGATTTTCTTAGAAGATTTAAAGGAAAAAAGTTGATTTTCTTAGGTAATTTGAAGGAACAAATTGATTTTCTTAGAAGATTTAAAGGAAAAAAGTTGATTTTCTTAGGTAATTTGAAGGAACAAATTGATTTTCTTAGAAGATTTAAAGGAAAAAAAAGTTGATTTTCTTAGGTAATTTGAAGGAACAAATTGATTTTCTTAGAAGATTTAAAGGAAAAAAAGTTGATTTTCTTAGGTAATTTGAAGGAACAAATTGATTTTCTTAGAAGATTTAAAGGAAAAAAGTTGATTTTCTTAGGTAATTTGAAGGAACAAATTGATTTTCTTAGAAGATTTAAAGGAAAAAAGTTGATTTTCTTAGGTAATTTGAAGGAACAAATTGATTTTCTTAGAAGATTTAAAGGAAAAAAAGTTGATTTTCTTAGGTAATTTGAAGGAAACAAAATTGATTTCTTAGAAAGATTTAAAGGAAAAAAAGTTGATTTCTTAGGTTGGTAAAAAAATTTGGAAAGGAACAAACATTGATTTCTTAGAAGATTTACAGGAAAAAAGTTGATTTCTTAGGTAATTTTGAAGAACAACATTGATTTTCTTAGAAGATTTAAGGGGAAAAAAAATGATTTCTTAGAAGATTTAAAGGGAAAAGTTGATTTTCTTAGGTAATTTGAAGGAACAAATTGATTTTCTTAGAAGATTTAAAGGAAAAAAGTTGATTTTCTTAGGTAATTTGAAGGAACAAATTGATTTTCTTAGAAGAGTTAAAGGAAAAAAGTTGCTTTCTTTTCTTAGGTAATTTGAAGGAACAAATTGATTTTCTTAGAAGATTTAAAGGGAAAAAAGTTGATTTTCTTAGGTAATTTGAAGGAACAAATTGATTTTCTTAGAAGATTTAAAGGAAAAAAGTTGATTTTCTTAGGTACTTTGAAGGAACAAATTGATTTTCTTAGAAGATTTAAAGGAATAAAGTTGATTTTCTTAGGTACTTTGAAGGAATAAATTGATTTTCTTAGAAGATTTAAAGGAAAAAAGTTGATTTTCTTGGAAGATTTAAAGGGAAAAGTTGATTTTCTTGGAAGATTTAAAGGGAAAAGTTGATTTTCTTAGAAGATTTAAAGGGAAAAGTTGATTTTCTTAGAAGATTTAAAGGGAAAAGTTGATTTTCTTAGGTAATTTGAAGGAACAAATTGATTTTCTTAGAAGATTTAAAGGAAAAAAGTTGATTTTCTTAGGTAATTTGAAGGAACAAATTGATTTTCTTAGAAGATTTAAAGGAAAAAAGTTGATTTTCTTAGGTAATTTGAAGGAACAAATTGATTTTCTTAGAAGATTTAAAGGGAAAAAAGTTGATTTTCTTAGGTAATTTGAAGGAACAAATTGATTTTCTTAGAAGATTTAAAGGGAAAAGTTGATTTTCTTAGATGATTTGAAGGAACAAGTTGATTTTCTTGGATGATTTGAAGGAACAAGTTGATTTTCTCAGAAGATTTAAAGGGAAAAGTTGATTTTCTTAGAAGATTTAAAGGCAAAAGTTGATTTTCTTAGATGGTTTGAAGGAACAAGTTGATTTTCTTGGATGAATTAAAGGGAAAAGCTGATTTTTCTTAGAAGATTTATTGATTTAAAGGGAAAAGTTGATTTTCTTAGACTAGAAGGTTTAAAGGGAAAAGTTGATTTTCTTAGATGATTTGAAGGAACAAGTTGATGTTCTTGGATGATTTGAAGGAACAAGTTGATCTTCTTGGAAGATTTAAAGGGGAAAGTTGATTTTCTTAGAAGATTTAAAGGAAAAAAAGTTGATTTTCTTAGATGATTTGAAGGAACAAGTTGATTTTCTTAGAAGATTTAAAGGAAAAAAGTTGATTTTCTTAGGGGGTTTATTTTCTTAGAAGATTTGAAGGGAAAAGTTGATTTTCTTAGAAGATTTAAAGGAAAAAAAGTTGATTTTCTTAGATGATTTGAAGGAAAAAAGTTGATTTTTTTGGATGATTGGAAGGAACAAGTTGATTTTCTTGGGTGATTTGAAGGAACAAGTTAATTTTCTTGTATGATTTGAAGGAACAAGTTGATTTTCTTGGATGATTTGAAGAAACAAGTTGATTTTCTTGGATGATTTGAAGGAACAAGTTCATGTTCTTGGGTGATTTAAAGGAAAAGGCTGATTTTCTTGGGTGATTTGAAGGAACAAATTGATTTTCTTGGATGATTTGAAGGAAAAAGCTAATTTTCTTGAATGATTTGAAGGAAAATGTTGATTTTCTTGGAAGATTTGAAGGAACAAGTTGATTTTCTTGGATGATGTGAAGGAAAAATTTGAATATCTTGGATGATTTGAAGGAAAAAGCTAATGTTCTTGAATGATTTGAAGGAACAAGTTGATTTTCTTGGACGATTGAAGGAACAAGTTGATTTTCTTGGATGATGTGAAGGAAAAAGTTGAGTGTCATCGATGATGTGAAGGAAAAAGTGGATTTTCTATTTTCTTGGGTGATTTGAAGGAACAAGTTGATTTTCTTGAATGAATTGAAGGAACAAGTTGATTTTCTTGGGTGATGTGAAGGAAAAAGTTGATTTTCATCGATGATGTGAAGGAAAAAGTGGGTTTTCTATTTTCTTGGGTGATTTGAAGGAACAAGTTGATTTTCTTGAATGATTTGAAGGAACAAGTTGATTTTCTTGGCTGATTTGAAGGAACAAGTTGATATTCTTGGATGATTTGAAGGAAAAAGCTAATTTTCTTGAATGATTTGAAGGAAAATGTTGATTTTCTTGGATGATTTAAAGGAAAAAGTTGATTTTCTTGGATGATTTGAAGTAACAAGTTGATTTTCTTGGATGATTTGAAGGAAAAATTTGAATTTCTTGAATGATTTGAAGGAAAAAGTTGATTTTCTTGGAAGATTTGAAGGAACAAGTTGATTTTCTTGGATGATGTGAAGGAAAAATTTGAATTTCTTGGATGATTTGAAGGAAAAAGCTAATGTTCTTGAATGATTTGAAGGAACAAGTTGATTTTCTTGGACGATTTGAAGGAACAAGTTGATTTTCTTGGATGATGTGAAGGAAAAAGTTGATTTTCATCGATGATGTGAAGGAAAAAGTGGATTTTCTATGTTCTTGGGTGATTTGAAGGAACAAGTTGATTTCTTGAATGATTTGAAGGAACAAGTTGATTCTCTTGGATGATTGGAGGGAAAATGTTTTTTTTCTTAGATGATTTGAAGGAAAAGGTTGATTTTCTTGGACGATTTGAAGGAACAAGTTGATTTTCTTGGATGGTTTGAGGGAAAGCTAAGGTTTTTGACCAAACATATGTTGAAGGATGATCAAGCTTTGGGTGAAGCCCTCTAAATGATTCACATTTAACATCATTTTACTAGAGTTTTTCTTAAAACCCAATGCTGGGACTTCAGCATGGTGCCAGAAACCATGAAACTCATCCAAGTGTTTCAGCTAGTGGGTGAAAACGGAAGATAATTTCGACTTGAGATCAAGGATTCTCATCAGCTTCCCCATGTAGATGGCCATAGATTGCATCCTCTGCAGCTGCAGCTTTGTAGAGATCTCGCTTCCGCTTGGGAGGGGCCACCTTTAGGTGCACCTGACGGCCAAATCAAAACAGCAGGTGGGGGCAAAGGACCTGTTGTTCAGAATGTTATTCTATCTATTGTGTATATAGATATTCATAGATATATATGTAAATATATAGTAGGTACTACAACATGTTCTATCAAATTCTATCTGTTTGTTTTTTTTGCCATCGTCTTCCTTGATGTAGAGGCTCCCGATTGAGGATGCATTTTGTTTAAGATGCTTGAGCAACCGGTGAATTCCCTTCCCAGTTCACAGCACTGTGCATCAACGGACTCGGACATTGTTCTGGGTCGCAATTTCTTCCATCAAACAGTGTTTCACCCTCCCATCCTGCATCCATTTTTCGTTGAGATCGAACTCATGCATTTCTCGCTACAGGGCACTCACGCCACGCCCATAGGGCCCGTCACAGAGATGAGACTCAGCTCATGAATATTATCAACGCTTCCACCCGGCAGTCCTAATGGGCTTAGAGCAGTGACGCTCCAGTGATCCTCAGGTGCAGTGCTCTATGGTACCTTTGGGAAACTGATGGAGAACTAGGTTTCACCCTCATTTGATCAAATAAAGTCTAGAAAGCCAATCTGAGTATTCCATGCAATCAGATTGGATAAGGGGACCTCCAGCCTTTCCCCAACCTGGATTCTGTGGGAATTTTCTGAATGTTCCACTTTAGTTGGCAAATATGCCAATCACAAGAAGCTGGTGATGGATCCAGCGGTCATGTCCACATAAGCTTCCTAGAACTGCTCTTGGCCCCTTGATATTCTTGATCCATTGGCTAGGCTAGTTGCGCGACATATTCAGTTCGTTCTTTGGCATGGTTGATCATCATCTTCCCTACTAAAATTACCACCAATTGGCCTCCAATCCCCAATTTTTGCCAATGTTTGCCATTTTTGTACAACATTACTATCCATCAAATGACATTTTATTACTAATACCCCCGAAATTAATTTTGACCTTGAAAAATGCGATAATTTTTAGTACAACCCATATTCCCCGAACCCATAGCAGGGTCTATGTTTATGTGAATTTGGCAGATGGTATATCACCATCCTGGCGAGTTTAATCCCCAGAAATCACTCTGCAGCCTGCTGCCGCGGCTCTCGCTTCAAGGTTGGCTCGCTGTTGTAATTCCGATGGAGCAGTGGCACCTGCAGTTGATGGCTGACACCCAGCAATTTAGGGCTAGTATCATTTTGGGATCTATCTATATGTTTATCTAGTCCATCTAGTCTATCTACTTTATCTACCCCACCCCTGCAGTTAAGGGCATGAGCTAGGGTGTGGTCCGTAAAACACTCACTCTACTCTATCTACTCTATCTAATCTATCTAATCTATCTAATCTATCTAATCTATCTAATCTATCTAATCTATCTAATCTATCTAATCTATCTAATATCTATCTAATCTATCTAATCTATCTAATCTATCTAATCTATCTAATCTATCTAATCTATCTAATCTATCTAGTCTATTAATCTAGTCTATCTAATCTATCTAATCTATCTATCTATCTAACTATCTAACTATCTATCTATCTATCTATCGATCTATCTATCGATCTATCTGTCCATCTATCTATCTATCTATCTATCTATCTACCTATCTATCTATCTGTCTATCTATCTATCTAACTATCTATCTACCTACCGGCTTCTTCAAAAAAACAACCATCCTCCTACATGTTGTCACATCACACCTGATCCCCCAGCGCCCCCTTGATCAAGGTTGTTGCACAAGGCATGCCGGCATCCGAACCGAAATGGTTGTTTTTTTGAAGGCCTTTCCAAGCAAAGCGATGTAACAACATTGAATTGGGGAAGGGGGCACGCAAGTTTCTTCGCAATCAGTTTGACAGGATTGCTGTTTTTGGCTTATGGATGTGCAAACACAAGCTTGAACAAACTCCCTTGTGCACTTGCCACAACCTCAGTCAAAACACACTCTCATCTTCAAAGCTGCTACCCAGCAAGCAAAGAAGCACAAGACTTATTTTTTTTGGTTTATGGCTGTGCAAACGCAAGCTTGAACAAATTCCCTTTTGCACATGCCAAAACCCCAACCCAAACGCACTTTCATCTTCACAGCTGCTACCCACAAACAAAGGATGTGCCTCCACGCCTCCAGAAGCAGAATTGCACAAACTGCGTGTTTTGCACAGTGCACGTACAGTGCATCACAGTGCACGCTACAGTGCACGCCACAGTGCACGGCCACAAAACGCAGTAAATACCATGGGATTAGCGTTTTTTGACCATTTACCAAAACTAGACGACGGATGGCCCGAGAGCGTAGAGGAGCAGGGTCTTCTCTTGTTAGTATGGAGACACCATATTACAAAACAATATATTAAAGATGTGTTATAGGCAGTCGAGAAGAGGAGTATCAAGACAATATAGCACAAGTACAAGACAATAGTTTGCATCGCAAACACTTTTACACACAGAAGCTTTTACACACAGAAGCTTTTACACACAAAAGCTTTTACACACAGAAGCTTTTACACACAGAAGCTTTTACACACAAAAGCTTTCACACACAGAAGCTTTTACATACAGGCACTTTCACACACAGACGCTTTTACACACAGACGCTTGTGCACACGGACGCTTTTACACACAGACGCTTTTACACACAGACGCTTTTACACACAAACACTTTTACACACAAGAGCTTTTAACCACAGAAGCTTTTACACACAGAAGCTTTTACACACAGACGCTTTTACACATAGACGCTTTTGCACACAGGCGCTTTTACACACAGAAGCTTTTACACACAGACACTTTTACACCCAGACCCTTTTACACACAGGAGCTTTTACACACAGAAGCTTTTACACGCAGACGCTTCTACACACAGACGCTTTTACACATAGACGCTTTTACACACAGGCGCTTTTACACACAGAAGCTTTTACACACAAGCGCCTTTACACACAATTACTTTTAGACACAGTCGCTTTTACACACAGACGCTTGTACACGCAGACGCTTTTACACGCAGACGCTTTTACACGCAGACACTTTTACACACAAACGCTTTGACACAAAGACACTTTTACACAACAGAAACTTTTACACACAGACGGCTTTACACACAGACGCTTTTACACACAGAGGCTTTTACACACAGAAGATTTTACACACAGACACTTTTACACGCAGAGGCTTTTACACACAGAAGATTGTACACACAGAAGCTTTTACACAGACGCTTTTTACACAAACGCTTTTACACACAGAAGCTTTTACACACAGACACTTTTACACACAGACACTTTTACACACAGACGCTTTTACACGCAGACACTTTTACACACAAACGCTTTGACACAAAGACACTTTTACACAACAGAAACTTTTACACACAGACGGCTTTACACACAGACGCTTTTACACACAGAGGCTTTTACACACAGAAGATTTTACACACAGAAGCTTTTACACACAGAGGCTTTTACACACAGAAGATTGTACACACAGAAGCTTTTACACAGACGCTTTTACACACAAAAGCTTTATACACAGAAAAAATCGCAATTTTACCTCAGTTTTTGGCGATCGACCCTCATTTCGTGCGAAAGGGTTGCAACGGGAACCCGGAAATCGCAATTTTACCTCAGTTTTTGACGATTGAACCTCGTTTCGTGCGAAAGGGTTGCGCGGGACGACTTGAACTCGCATTTTACCTCTGTTTTTGACGATCGAACCTCATTTCGTGCGAAAGGGTTGCGCCGGACACCCTGAAATCGCAATTTTACCTCAGTTTTTCGCGATCGAACTGCATTTCGTGCGAAAGGGTTGCGCGGGACAAGTTGAAATCGCAATTTTACTTCAGGCGATCGAACCTCGTTTCGTGCGAAAGGGTTGCGCGGGACAAGTTGAAATCGCAATTTTACCTCAGTTTTTGGCGATCGAACCTCGTTTCGTGCGAAGGGTTGCGTTTCGTGCCGTCTCGTTGGCACTGCCCCTGCCCCCGCCTTCAGAAGAGAAATATAAAAGAAGGAGAGGGCAAGAGGGCAAGAGGAGAAGATGTGAAGATGTGAGGATGTGAAGATGTGAAGATGTGAAGATGAGAAGATATGAAGATGAGCAGATGTGAAGATGTGAAGATGTGAAGATGAAAAGATATGAAGATGAGCAGATGTGAAGATGTGAAGATGTGAAGATGAGCAGAAGATGTGAAGATCAGAAGATGTGAAGATGTGGAGATGTGAAGATGAGAAGATGCGAAGTGAGATGCGAACATGTGAAGATGCGAAAATGTGAAGATGTGAAGATGAGCAGATGTCAAGATAAGAAGATGTGAAGATGTGAAGATGTGAAGATGAGAAGATGTGAAGATGTGAAGATGACCAGAAGATGTGAAGATGAGAAGGTGTGAAGATGTGAAGATGTGAAGATGAGAAGATGTGAAGTGAGAAGATGTGAAGATGAGAAGGTGTGAAGATGAGAAGGTGTGAAGATGAGAAGATGTGAAGATGAGAAGATGTGAAGTGAGAAGATGTGAAGATGAGAAGATGAGAGACAGACCCCCACTATTGGAAGAACCCTGCGCTCAGACGCTCTCGGGAAAAAAAATAAGCTTCTGTGGCATCCCCAACAGCCGCAATGTTTATTGTTACAAATCTTTCTGAAGCGTGCTGCGAAGCCAAGCGCTGGAAACCCTGTTGAACGTGTTGGAACCTGACCTGGCCCTGCACCAAAGATTCCCAAAACCTTCTCCGGAACACTGTTGAACCTGACCAGGCTCTGCACCAAAGCCTCCCAGACCTTCTCCGGAACCTTCTCCGAAACCCCTCCCAGGCCTTCTCCGGAACCTTCTCCAAAACCCGGTGAGCCTGACTTGGCACCGGGGCTTCCTGGAACCTTTTCCGGAACCTTTTTCGGAACCCTGTTGAACCTCTGCACCAAAGCCTCCCAGACCTTCTCCGGGAACCTTCTCCAAAACCCTGTTGAACCGACCTGGCTGCACCAGAGCCTCCCAGACCTTCTTGGGAAACTTCTCCGGAACCCGGTTGAACCTGACCTTCTCCGGAACCCTGTTGAACCTGACCTGGCTCTGCGCCAAAGCCTCCCAGACCTTCTCCGGACCCTTCTGCGGATCCCTGTTGAACCTGACATTCTCCGGAACCTTCTCCGGAACACTGTTGAACCTGACTTGGCTTCGCACCAAGGCTTCCTGGAACCTTTTCCAGAGCCTTCTCCGGAACCCTGTTGAACCTGACCTGGCTCCTTGAGAACCTTCTCCGGAACCTCGTTGAACCAGACCCGGCGCCTGCACCAGTGCACACCGAGCTATTCTGGGCTGAAGACCCCTTTAGCTTACGCTGTTGGGGAAACATGTTGTCTTTCTTGTGTGTTCTCATCATTTTTGGGAAAATACTTGGTACTTACAGCGTTTTGTGGCCGCGCACTGTGGCGTGCACTGTCGGGTGCACTGTGCGTGCACTGTACGTGCACTGTGCAAAACACGGTGTTTGTGCCCCCTTTTTTTTTCATCAGCAGAACGCTGCAATTCTGCTTCTGGAGGCGTGGCACATTCCACATTGGTGCACCATGCAACACACACACAGTTTCTGATCTCCAATTTTTGCCCACATGCGAAGCACATGCTGCAATGTTGCTTCTTTGTTTGTGGGGAGCAACTGTGAAGATGAAAGTGTGTTTGGATTGGGGTTTTGGCATGTGCAAAAGGGAAATTGTTCAAGCTTGCGTTTGCACATCCATAAACCAAATAAAACACATCTGCTGCGTTTTTGTTTCGTGGGTAACAGACCGGGTAGCAGGTTTGAAGATGAAAGTGTGTTTGGATTGAGGTTTTGGCAAGTGCAAAAGGGAATTTGTTCAAGCTTGTGTTTGCACATCCATAAACCAAAAAAACTTCCCGGGTTCTTCAAAACAAAGAGCCATCCTCCTACATGTTGTCACATCACACCTGATCCCCCAGCGCCCCTTTGATCAATGTTGTTGCCCAATGCATGCCGCCATCCGAACCGAAATGGCTGTTTTTTGAAGGTCTTTCCAAGCAAAGCGATGTAACAACATTGAATTGGGGGAAAGGGGGCATGCAAGTTTCTTCGCAATGAGTTTGACAGGATG